GGCTGGACAGCTTCACAGTCTGAAACAGAGAAATGGGATTTTCTGTTCGTTCCCTGGGTGTAAGTGGGTTGACAAGTGCTGGATTTGCTGGGGCGTAGCTGAGAATACACACTCCTTTGAGCTGCTAAAACAACAGAGACGATTTGGTGAGTTTGTGGTTGCATCTTGCCGTTTAGTGAATATTCTGTCACCCTTCCTGGCTGGTTTTGTTGTCTCCTTATTCTTTACAGTGCTTTTAGCAAAGCCAAAACATAGTCAGGAGATGTGAACTAGAACTGCTTCTGAGACACAAATTACTGGTCTGAGGGGAGCCAGACCTCTGATCTTGCTAAGAAAGACTCTCTATAAATCAAGAGCATAAAAGTAGCTAAAGATGTAATGGGCCAAGTTCACCCTGGTACAATTACCCAGCTCAGCCTTGCTGGGACACAAGGCACTCAAGTGTGACTTTATCAGCCCAGAAATGGGGGCACAGTGACAAGTTTAGCTCTTCTTTTCCAGGATGAGAATGGATATCCATCACCTCACTGCCCTGTGTGGGAATTTTTAAAATTAGGGTTTTGGGTAAGTTGTAAAAGGTAGGCTGCTTTGTCTGCTGCCTGGGATGTGAGCTGGCATTTTCCCAGTGTCATAACCATGCAATGAGGCTGATGCTGGCAAATAAACAGCTCGAGACACCTTCCTCAGCAGTCCCATCCCGTTTGTGATTTGTACATAGCCCCTGGCCGGCGATACCCTGAATGTACCTCCCGTTTTCTGCTTCAGAAAACACCTTGAGCAGTGGAAACCCTCTCCACACCAGGCTGTTTAGGATCCTCACAGTGCTTTTAGGGAGTAACATAAAAGGCTTCTGCACAAAAAGAGTTTTCTCTGCACAAAAAAAATCTGCTGTGCCTTGTGGATAGGACTAAAATGAATGGGCTAAAACCACTGTACAGAAAGTTCAGACCAAGCTTCATGAAAAACTAGGAATATGGTGAAGTGTGCAATATATCACTCAGGGAAACTTGCATCTCTGCCACTACAGACCTGTAAGATTAGGACAGAAAACTGTTTCTAAGGAATGACAAGGGGCCTGCCTTGGGCAGAAGCATGGACTGAGGACATCCTGAAGTGCCTTACAGATCTGTTTTTGCACAGCATTGCTGACAAAACGTAGTTACTGGAATGCAGGTAGATGTCTCTTCCAAAAGCCATCCATCATCTCATAGCATTTAGTGAGGGACAGAATCCTGACAAACTGATTCAGTAGATCCCACCTTGCTTCTAGCCAAACTAGCCCTAAGCCTGAACTGTTACAATTTCTTTGTGGGTTTTGTAGGGGTTCACTTTCTGGGGGGTATTTTTCGGCCAAGGGGAGGCGAGGAGGGTCAGGAAATGTCTCTGATACTCTGCAAAAGACAGGATGCCATGGTGAGTTTAGTTATTTTAAAGTTCAGTTGTATTTCAACACCAGTCTGTGAAAATCCTTTTTGGGCCAGGACTTAAAGAACTGAAATATGGAAAACTGCTGATCCAAAACTTCTCACACTTACAAGCTTATACTGGTATTTTCAAACTTTCCTTCCAAACTAGGAGACAAAAAATACAATTGCATTAAAAAAAATAAAGTGAGGTATGTTTATACCACAATAATTTTAAGAACCAGGACTTTACATATACTTCAATTATTCACAATAAATTCATTAGATAAAGAGACACAAAAAGCCATTCATTGCAATCTTGTGAAAGTCTTCGTGCTCCAGTTACAAAAAATGCTGATCACATTTGACAGCCAGCATTTTCACAGGCACATTTAGTCCTGTTACTCACGCCTTAGTCCTTCCTGGAAACACAGACCTCCTGCACAGAAGACTCCTTTTTCCTCCTGTCATCACCCTTGATGTTAAACATTAGATAGAGGTGAAAAAAAAAGTGCAGATTACAGTAATTTGTTCCTGTGACCACTCAGGTTTGACATGCACCATAGTGTGTGCACTCCTAGAAAGGGTTGACAGGCTTACCTTAGTAGGCATCGTGATGAAAAAAGACAGAGGTATTGGGAAAAAAGTTAAAAGTTTCCGTAAGTAAAAACCAAAACACTGTTTGCAGTTTGGAGTAGGCCTGTGCCACAAGTAGCATTTAAACTAAAAAAAAAGAGCTCATAGGAATGGGCTCAGAAAGCATATCAAAGCACTAAGGGCAGGTAAGAATCACTGAATAGGAAATGCCTCTTAACAGCTTAGTTCTTATTAACAAAGCAGTTACGTGGTGAAAAATTATTTGCCCAGGTGTAAAAAACGAAATGCATGAACTACCTGTGCACCAGGGCAAGCAGCAAGGAGCATGGTGCAAACACAAGGACTAAGTTAAGCACATGTCCAAAAGAACTACACCCCCACTAGCAACAACATATAAATATGGAATAAGTATAAGTTAGTAGATAAATGTATTCAATAAATAGGCGTTTCCCCTACCATGACCTTCACAGTGGTAAATCCTGTACCTTTCCCTAAAGCTGTCACTGAAGGAAGACCAGGACTTCAAAGGGAAGGCACTGAGAAGAGCAGGAAGATTTCACAGTTCAGATAACATCCAGCCATGTCTCTGTGCAGGTGTGCCCTGGGAACATCAGCCTGGAGGGTAACTGACACTGTGCCTTCTGTTTTGGTTCAGTTCTGGTCCTGTAGAACTCCTGCCCATCTGTAGTGAATGGTTACATAGCAGCTGGGTTGTTGTCTTTTTTGTTTGGTTTGACATTTGGGTTTTGTTTTGGTTTGTTAGAGGCAATCTTTTGTCAATAGATTTTGTGTGTGTGTTTTTAAAGTCAAATGCACGCTGGTTTATTTATTTCTATAAGGTAGCATAAATCCTGATGGAAGAGCCAACCATCTGCCTGTAAACTATTGCAGGGGCTGTTGCAGAGTAAGAATTCACATAAATTTAGTCTTACTACAGTTTGCTCAAGGAGATCTCAGCAGACATTTCAGCACAGATCAGAAACTGCTCCGATATATTCTCGAATCCGGGCCCATTAATAAAACAGCCAGCCAACCAAACATGGAGAACTTTCCAAGCACTAGAATTTTTTTTTTCTCCAATAGTTGCACAAAATACTGAAAATATTAACAGGCTGATGATAAAGGAACTGTTGGAGCTCTGACTCTCTGTTACAATTAAAGACTGATCTATAACTGAAATTTCCACATTTAAATAAAATATGGCCATAAAAGATAGTCCACAGTAACATACTATTAAATGTACAGCTACTGAATATTGTTAATATTGTATCTGTTTCAGTTTCTCCTACTAAATACATTATGCAAATTTAATTTTCCATAAAAACCTTTTATAAAATAATGCTATTCTGAAACCAAATAAAAGTATATGATATTAAATCAAAAACTACAACAGAAATAGTAAGTTCCTCCAACAATTTAAAAAGACAGGAGTTTTTTTCAAAAGTGCATAGAGGTTTTTTCAAAAACATAGAGAATGCAGGCCCTTCAAGTGAATGAAGGGTTCAATCAGTACTATAACATTATGCCTGGACTGCAGATCATGAGGCCAAATATTATCAGGAAATAAACTATTAATACCAGGGAATACACAGAAAGTATTTACCCTTGTAAGAAGTAAATACTTCTCAAAATATAAATACTTCAAATCAATAAATCAAGAAGCTAAATTAAAACTACTGCCTAATGTAACCCTTATCACAAAAGCCATTCTGTCTGTGTAAGTTCAGATTTCAAAGGATGGTTTTCTACATGAAAAGTAAATCACTATTTAATGAAAAATGTGTTGATTCTCCCAATGTAAAAGCTGATGAAAATAATTAGGTTAATGAATTCCCAGTCATCAGAGTTTGCAGTGTCAGTGACAACAGCACGTGATTAACATCCCTGGAAGGATCCTAAGGGAATGCAAGCAAAAGAACCAAACACTCACATTGGTAGAGGTAAAAAATGACAATGGCATCTTTTCACTAGGAATTGATCTTCATGCAGCCAAGAATCACTTGGCAGCATGAGCAACAAACAATCTTGATATTAAAATGGGGGTCAATATATAAAAACCATTTGAGAGCCCTGGTTTGGGAGGGTAGGAGCTGATGCCAGTGTAAGCTTTTGGGAAAAGTGACTGAGAATAATTCTTTCACGATGCTGTAAAATGCTGTTTGGGACAAGCACTTGGACTTCTGCTTCCCGAACATGAAGACTTCCTGAGAACAAGGATACTCACCTTTACCATTTCCTTTCCTTAGAAAGGGTGAAGATTCTTAAACAATACCATCTTTCTAACAACTACACCATCTTAAGATCTTCATAGTAGCTATCAAGCTTTACTATTCTCTCTTTTCTTCAAAAAAGTATTTTTAATGACAGAGGGAATTTAAGAGAGAACTTGCTCAACATGCAGAAGTCCCATATTCTGCTTAAGGGACTCAGGACAGAAAAAGTGTCAGGTAAAATAGACTTAATACAAATGCAAACTTGTATATGACATACATCTATCATACAGCAACCTGAGCAAAAGTGTTAAAAAACTCCATTAAATTTTCTGTCTGAGTCTTGACAGTTAAAAAGTGCTTACACAGTAAGATATGATTTGAGCAACTTTAAGTATTTGTCACACATTTTGTCCATAGCCAGGAGAAAGCAGGGGCTGTTACTGCTGAACAAAAATAATTATGTATTATTACTTCAGGCAATTGCAATGATTAATTTCTATAAAAGCAAATTAATGTGTAATTGTGTAATTATTGTGTTTTCATTAAAAATATATTGATAGTGGGAGCCTGCTGTATTATTCTCTTTATTCTGTTCTACTTCACAACAAATTCAGTGTAGGAAACACCTCATTTCAGGATCTCTGGGCCAACAGTCAGGTTCTGAGTACTCAGACACAACCTTTACATGTGCCCTTCAAATTACACTAGAAATTTCTTCTTTACAAATGCCAATAAATTCAAAATGCAGTCCACAGGCTCAAATGCTGCTGCTCATGTACATTCCTACCTGCAAAGGGAACAGGTGCATCTTTATCCAAAGCAACCAGGGGAGGGTCCAAAATCACAGTGTCGTTGTTTTCAGTTATGATTCCATGGTACGATGTCTCAATCCAGGGTTTGTGTTTATTCACTAGAAGAGAAGAAACCATGCCTAATTAATTTGGTTTGTGTTTCATATCTATTCAGGTAATTTTATCTATAAAGAGAAATTATTTAACATACTTCCAATATTAATAGTATTACTCAAAAGCCTCTATCAAAATCCCTAGAATAAACATTCAAATATAAAAGAAAAATGACATGCACATTGTACTACACTGATAAGAAAACCAACACTTCCAGATATCCCTCCAATTAAGACACCAAAATAAAAAGGCAATTTTCAGAATATTTATAATGTATTCTCGACTGTCAGCCTAACTAGGTTCAGACAATTTTGAAGGAATTGCTTTCAGTTGCAAAGCCCTGGTACAAGAGAAAGGGCATCCCCAGAAACCCAACTTGACAAGACACGAAGCAGAAGGGTAGGCGAGAACACTCAGCTCTTGGTCACCTTCTCACTTTGGATTTTTGGAACAATACCTACTATTACTTCTGTGTTTTGTACATTGTAGAGAAAACAAATGTCTGCATTTTAATTACTGATAAAAGTCTGCACTTCTTCACAATTTAACCAGAGGATCTGAGGTTTTTCTGGAAAAACCTGTCCTTCAAATCCAGCTGTTGAACATTTGGATATTTGGTCTTGAAGTACATAGAAGATCACACAAAAAGACACCTTAAGAGGCTACACTACACCATCAGATTGCCTTATTGCTGAACCCTCTCCATTTACACTCCTCTCACCATCCATCTCCTATTGACTGGAAAGGATGAAGACACAAAATGAAACAGAAGGGGAAAATATAAGAGGCTTATCTTTGCTCTGGTTATAAATTGAGCTTTCTTCCTGCAGGCACAATCTGAATGTTATGTCATTGCAACTCCTACATAAGGAATACAATGGTGACAGCTAAATGAATTTCAGTTTGAAGAATGTACTCCCCCAGGCAAGAGGGAGCACTGCACCAAGGAATATCCACCCCATTTGCACCAAACTCAGATGCAAGGTAATTTCTATACCTATTATATAGCTGTGTGTACCAGATGCTGAGGAAAATACCTGATGAGTTAACAGAAATCACCTCAAAGATGGAGAGTTGACATTTAGCATGAAACCAAATTAAAAAAAAAATAAATAAAAATAATCATGAAAACAAACAAAGTCCACACATAGAACCCTAAACTCTTTCCTGCTTTGTCTTTTGTAAAACCCCCGGACATCAGTGAGATTCAAGTTTCTCCCTTTGTGAAGAAAGCAGCAAAACCCACTGAGACAGCAGAGAGGGCTCTGGCCACAGGTAAAAGTGGGCAATTAACAAATTTTTTTTTCACTGGCCATTTGGGAAAAGCATACAAATATATTTATGGCAAATTGAAGTTCATTCTTTTCATTTCTTGCTTTTTTGTTTAACTATTAGGAAACTGTGGACTTGGAAGACTGATCCTTTTAAAGCTGAATTATTTTATATTCTAGGACTAATCTGGGAGCTTTGAGTTCATTCCTATGTTGCAATAGATCTTCTTTCAGAAGAAAGCATACTTATCTTCACAGTAGTTGGTTTTGCCCATTTTTGAAATAACTAAGCAACAGGAAGATTAAACTGGGGATGTGTCAGGGAAAGGTGAAATGGAAAACAGGGATCTCAAATCTCTTTATCTTGTAATGACTGTAGAGCCAGAGGAGAGATTGGTGAGTTTATGTAATAGATGAAGGCCAAAAGTCTTGTCGATGTTGAAAAATGAGAAGTGATGGATAAAATTTCAGAGCTTTTTATGGCATTTGGGATTCTGGTTTGCAGGGCAGTTGAAGTATTCTGTATTTATTAATGGAATACGTGAATTGCCTGAGCATGCAGACACACCCGTGTGTTCCAGTGGCACTCAGGTGTGGTTCACAGGCTCTGAGGGACACAGGCTGCACTGAGCCAAAGGACATCTCTTGACTGCAGGCAGATGCAGCAGAACCACAATGAGACAGTAAAAATGAACTCACATCAAAAGGGAACTCCTTATGCAACTCAAATTTCAAGTACCAGATGCTTTTCATTCCTCCTGATTCTGTTAAAGGTCTGAGCTCTTAAAAAAACAAACAATCAAATAAAAAAAAAACTAAACAAGCAAATAAACACAAAAAGCACCAAAACTTTCCTCTTACTGATTCCTAGGGAATACTTTTGATGGCACTTTTTAAGGAACTCTCAGAATACAGTGAGTGCAATTCTACCAGCCTTAGATTTCTCCAGTTGGTGTCCAGTGAGCAATAACAGCAGTCAAATGAGTGGCAGCAACATCATTTCCTTAATTATATGGGGGGGAAGAAAATAAAATAATATTATGAACAAATGGTACAGTTTAGACCTTAGAGACTGGTATTGGGAAGAGGAAAAGAACAATAAAGCAAAAGCAAAACAAAATAATGTATCAAATTATTTGCAAGCTCTTATCTTGGAGATGAATTTTGGAGATACATCCCCATATGTAAAAACTATGGCTATATAAGCTTTGTGTGACCTGTGGTGTGGAAATGTTACTAATAATGGAAAACATCCATGCTCTCTGGGAATGCAAAGCAATTCTTTTGCATCGGACTATCTCTCTTCAAATATTTTCACATCATGAAAATTATTGATCCTTTTGCACTGTTTTGGATACTTGCTTTAAAATAAGAAATATCTAATCCTGAGATGAGCAGATGGCGTTGTGGCTGGGGGGGTGTTTATATTCTCCCTGCTAAAGGCTGGTAAAATGTTTCCATAGAACTAAGTGCAGAAACCACTCTAGAGGCTTTCATAAAGTAATAGATTATGAAGGAAAAACCTTCATATGTAACATGATCAATGAATACTTCAAGTTTCTTACTCAGAGACAAAAGGACAACTACAAAATATTAGACTGGTTCAAGCCAGTGTTTATCCACAGGTTAACACAGCTCTCAAATCTCTGGTATTTTCCTACCCCTATGCAGTGTCTTCAAAATAAGAGAATTTTCAAAATTCAAAAGTGTTTTGTCTTGTCTTATTTGAGCTACTGATTCTTCAGGATATATGAGTCAGATTTTAGGTTTCCAAAAACATAGTAGTGCCACACTGCATTTATTTAAACATCACAACAAAAACCTTTTACCATGCTGTCTATTTCAGGCTATATGAAACTGTATGTTTAATTAGAAAAGAAAAACAGAATTCATATTATTGAGAAAGTTCCATAATTTTGATTATATACAGTACTTATTATGAGATTTTAAAGATTAACATGTATCTTTTTTGGAATTTTTTAAAGTTTTACATAAGATGGGACTTTTTCATTTTACGTTTAAAATGGAAAAGGCAAGAATGGTTAAGAAATATTTCAGTGCTTCTCAACAGTGTTTACAAATTCACTGCATTCTATAAAGTAAAGTGATAGGCAAGCTACTTTTCTTTGGTTTACATTTGCTGAAGATGATGGAAGAGATCTATACACAGATTTGTATGTGAAGTTCCAGGAACTAAAAAAGCAGAGCACTACACAGCCAGTTAAACTCAAATGAGCAAATAAGCTGGATAATCAGCAGGTAAGAATTATACAAAAAAACTTTTCCCTCTTCAGGCATATTAAGTTGTACCACACTGATATTAACTCTAAAACTAGGAAAAAAAAAAAAAAAAAAAAAAGGTTTTTTCTTCCTCACAACTCACAAGAGATCTTCTCTGGAAGCATTTATTGTCTCCCATTTCCTTGCATTTCCCTAGCTGGGTGGAAGCTGGAATGAGTAGAAGTTTTGCATGAATTCAAACACATTTAGTTAAGACATAAAGATATCCATGCTGTGGTTTGTTTGTCTTTTTCAAAACTGGCTCCCTTCCTGTAATTTATTAGTCATTCATATAAACCCACAGTATATTAATTTATACCATCTAGGATAAGGCAATTCATCTTCCTTTATTACAGCTTGAGGTTGATCCATTACAGTTTGTCTGCACTGTCCACAGGGCATTTCCTGGTCTGTCCCAGCCAAGGCTGTGCTCACAAGCCTTGGGATGCAGTGGAACCACTGTGCCAGGAAAGGGCCCCTCTGTGCTCCCTCTGCAAACACTCCAGGCGCGAGAGCATCTGAGCACGGCTGAGGAAAACCAACCCCGTTCTGAGAGTCTGAGGGAACCCTGTGCCCCATGACTGCTGTCCTGAAAGTCAGAGTAAGGACAGCCCCAAAGGAAACACAGACATGAACACAGAGATGAACACAGAGAAAGGCCCACATGATGTTTAGAACCTCCAAACCTTGTTGACCTCGTGCAGTTTATTCAAGACTGCAAGACATGCACGGCACTTCCCAAAGGCAATCACAGGCTGTGCATTAAATCTTCTAAGTCCCAAAACCTGCGAGCAGCAGAGGTTTTTTCAAGAGCATTATAATAACAGGAGTACAATAAGGACAAAATGTATGAGGCCATAATCTTATGAGCAAAGCCATCTTTTCACCTCTAAGCTGACACAGACATTTGTTTGGGCATGGGGAGAGGGGGAGTGTGTGGGAAGCAGCATGTGCACAATTGACACATTACAATGGTATTTGACAAATTCAGATGGTTTCTGACTCAAATCAGTTAGAAAATGTTAGTTAGATCCAAAAATAACACAATATAAAATAATTATAAAAGAAAAAAAGTGACTATTAGAAGGCTTAACTCCTGACACCAGGGCAGATTCAATATTGAAATTTGATTTAACTGACAATTTCTAAACTTCAGGCAGCTAAAACCTGAGGTAGCAAATTATAATGATTAAGAATTGCTTTATGAATGCAAATGTTTTCTTTCTTTTTCTCCTCTAAATAGCACAATGGATTTATTTTCCATTTAATTGTGTTGATAATATGTTCTATCATCTCTAGCTTAAAGAGGTTGTCAATTCCAGAAAATTGCCAGAAAATTTAGGCTTTGTTACCACCTCTTTCAGCTCTAAGTCTTTTCATCTGCTAACTTCATGATCTTCAGCTCAGCCTGCTGGAATCCTGTGTAAGTGTCAAAGGTCTTCCCCTCACTAAGG